GCTCTTATAGCGGCAAAATTATAATATTATCACCCATGTATATTAATATTACGCATTTCTACAATGGCATTACTGCCTACAGACCTGCAAAGTTGGCTAGATGTCTTTGACTGGCACAGTCTGTCCTGAAATTCCAATAGGTGGACTGTTCAGGTGATGTCTAGCCTAGCAAACCTAATAAAAAGCAATGGGTTTACAAGAGTGGAAATGAAAAAGGAGAGAGCGGTGGCAACTTCGCTGCTGTACTCATAATCAGTCGTACAAGGAGCAGTACACCAGCCTCCTAGCACCCTCAGTCATGCCATGTACCATCCCCGGGGACATGTACCCCCTGCAGAGCCTGTAGGCCAACTGGAGCAGCACCAACACTTCCTCCTCACACCCCGTCATCTCATAGTGTGGCACCTTTCCTCTCAGTTTGGCCCCTGTGTTCCCCCTCAGTCTGGCCCCTGTGTCTTCCCTCAGTCTAGCCCCTGTGTCCTCTCAGCCTGGCCCCCTCCCCTCATTCTGGCCCCCGTGCCGCCCCCCTCAGTCTGTGTCCAGGACCACCATTAGAAATCATGGGGTTCCATACAGCCACAGCCTACATGGCTGCTGGGGCAAGGCCTCTTACACCTCCACCTTGCCCCCTGTCATCTCTGCAATGCCGACCCTGGTAGGGGCCTGAGCCCCTCGATCTGCCTGGGTCCGTGACATGGGTATTGGCCATACCCCCTGATGGTGGCCCCTGTGTCTCCCCTTAGTCCGGTCTATGCCCCCCCAGTCTGGTCTATGTGTCTCCCCTAAATCTAAGTATGAAGAAGTCACTCGCACTGCAGCTCAAGTTCAGTCAATTTTTTATTGACTGACAATGACATGCACAGCCATGTTGTGACACCACAGTCAAAAATATTGACTGAATTTGAGCTGGAGTGCGAGGGACTTCTTCACATTTATACTGATTTGCGGAGGCATCCGTGGTCGCTTGGCACCCACACGATACTTGAGGGTCTTATCTGGTCAGGTGTTTGATTGGTTTCCTTTGATTATCTCCCCCTCAGTCTGGCTCCTGTCCTCCCCCTCAGTCTGGCTCCTCCCCCCGACTCCTCTCACCCTCAATCTGGCTCCTGCGCCCCTCAGTCCAGCTCCTGTCCCCCTCTCAATCTGGCTCCTGTCCCCCTTCTCAATCTGGCTCCTGTCCCCCTTCTAAATCTGGCTCCTGTCCCCCTTCTCAATCTGGCTCCTGCCCTCCTTCTCAATCTGGCTCCTGCCCCCCTTCTCAATCTGGCTCCTGTCCCCCTTCTCAAATTAGCTCCTGTCCCCCTTCTCCATCTGGCTCCTGACCCCTTCTCACCTGGCTCCTGGCCATCCCTCAATCTGGCTCCTGGCCCCCTCTAAATCTGGCACCTGGCCCCCCATGTGTCCAGCATGAGATGAGGTGGTGGAGCTTCGGTCATTCAGTGGTGATGATTCCCCCCCGTCAGCTTACTTTCTCCTGGACGCTGTGTTCTGTGTTCCTTCGAGCACAGCATCTGTCCTGCACAGGCTTCTTGGGTCTGATGTCAGCTGGTGGGGGCGGGGCTCCATCAGTGTGTGATCTGCCTGGCCGCTCTGTGATCAATGGAGCGTTCAGAGCGGCCGTCGAGCACAGCTGGCCGGGCCGAACAGAAACAAGCTGATGTTCGGGCCGGCCCACCGGGCAAGTGCCCGGTTTGCCCTATGGCCAGTCCGGCCCTGCTACCAAGACACCAGTATGTTGATGTTTCAGTGCCACTGCAATCTCTTTCAGCGTCCCTCCCAGGCTAATTTTCTACACCTTTTTATAAATAATTATGGCGGTTAAAATTAGCTCTCTGAATGTGAAAGGACTTAATTGTCCGTTTAAACGAGCCATGCTATGGAAGGAAGCTGCATCTCTGAAATGTGACATACTATGTGTCCAAGAAGCACACCTCAAAAAGGAGAACCCCCTGAGTTGCAAAACCAAACATTTTACGCAAAGGTGTGATAATAGCAATTAAACGCACTGTCACTATTCTAGAACATGATTTATTGATTGACCCAAACGGTAGATTTATCATACTTGTGGCTTCCTTGAATAATCGATTAGTGACACTGGTTAACCTGTATGCCGCACATGACCGTCCAAAGACATTTTTTGTGACCCTAATGAATAAAATTAATAGGATCCGTAAGGGACACTTGGTCCTATGTGGATATTATAACGCAATTGTGGATGATGATCTGGACACTTCAAATGTGAAATGATGACCCAATAGACTCTTATACGCTGTCTTCCATAATAAGGACCTGCATGACGCAAGACTACACATCATTTTCTCACACTCAAAGCTCATACTCCAGACTGGATATGTTTGTGGTTATCCAATGAGACGAGCCGAGGTCAGGTTCCAAGCGGGCAATTCCAGTACAAAAGGGGTCAGGCAGAATAATGGTCAAATATCAGTTCCGTGGTCAAGGCAGGCAGAATTCAAGGTTTGTCGAGGAAGTCCGGGTCACAAGGATCAAGCAAGATATCACAAAACTGGAACAAGGATTAGCTGACGATAAACCAGCAACATGGTGGTAATGCTGCAGGGTTTATATAGGGCCAGTGATGTCATTTCCTGTGCGCCGCTATGGCGGATTTTCGTGCTGGTAGACTACTGCTTCTGCGCATGTGCGGGATGGCGCATATTTGTGTTCGCAGGTTACTGCTTCTGCGCGGGATGACGCGTTCCCGAGCAGTGCGGGAACGTGCAGGTTGCACATGCGCAGACGGCGGGGATCCGTTACAGGTACTGTATTGCACTGAAACCATTTTGGGCTGCTATATTTAGATTTATTTCTTCTGTGACACACCTTGCTTGCTCTCCATCACTTCAGTCAGCACTATTAGGGATTGGTATAGAGCTTTGGCCCCCCAACCAACGTGCCTTTTCCCACACTGATAGCCTCCAAATTAGCTCTGGCGCGACATTGGAAGTGAGTAGAAACCCCTAGTTTATATGTGGTTATCTAAATACTGAATAGCCATGCCACTTTGAAATGCTCCATGCAAAAGCCCATTTCAAATGGGATACATTTAATGCCAACTGGTTATGCTAGATGAAAGATTGTAGATGTACTATACATACCACATGATTTCCAACCAGGTCCTACTGCCTGTCGTTTATAGCTACCCTCACCGTTTTCGTCCCCTAGCTAAGCCTTTTCCTAAAATGTAGACTGAAAATATTTCTTTGACCTACACTTGCAGGTACAAGTCTCTGTCTAACAGTATACTAAATACTGACTAGTTTTACTTTAAAGTCTAATTTACATTCAGGTAATATGGCAAATTTTATATAGACCCTTTCCATAGTCTTGTCCCTCCCCCTACATGTTTAGCTCCCTATCCTTATCCCCTACCAGATAATTAAAATATCTAAGTGCAGTTCATATCTCAGGCAGTGTTGAGGGATAGGCATGGTACTCCATGCCTTCCCCTCTCCAATTTATTTTTTGTTATTTTATGCCGCATTCCCTACTTATACAGAGGTTTAGGCCTTTTTCTTTCCGCTGACTGGATTTGTGTATGTGCATCTGTGGCTCCGCTAGATGATATATTTTGGGGGGGGGGGATGTCTTCCATGAGTGGGTATGCAACCAGGTGCATGTCGTGCGCAATGTAAACGATCGCCGGCTATAGAGCCGCTGATCACCTATATGTGAAACACCCGTTAATGGGTGTTTGCATTAGTCGGGTCTTTTCTGCCCGTGCGTGCCCGCTAGGGGGCGCGCGCGAGCAGAAAAAAAAAGCCGTCTGGCGACGGCAACCCACCAATGCAGCAGTGCCGTCCGTCCGTTTTTTTACAACGGGCGGACGGCAAGTGGTTGAACATGCGTTCGAGGGGGAATACATTTGTGTGAGATGTGAGCAAGTTGCTTGTTTGGAAACCCAGATTCTGGATATAAGCAAGTAACTGGCAACACTTAGGAGCATAACAATTATGGAAAAGAGTCTGGACATAACGCACCAGGCTGTGGTGGAGGGGGGGTTGGAGGAGCAGGATCCCGAGGTGGGGAGCTGGGTTACTGTTAGAAGGCGTGGGAGAGGGAAGAGTGCTAGAGATGTTAGCCCTGATCTGGTTCACCCCAATAAGTTTGCCAAGTTGCATGATGTTGGAGATACTAGTTCAGGAGTACGAAATGCAAAATAGGCTAGAAATTTAGGGAAGTGATGATCATGTTTGTATATTACTACTCTTTTTAACTTTTATTATAAACATTTTTTAATGAATCTCAATAAATTTATATACATTTCTAAACTTCTGAGTCCTCTCTAAAAAACCCCACCACAACTTTTGTTGTAAATGTGTATGCTTTTGGTGGTATTTAATCACCACTGGGGGTTTTATTTTTTACTATATTAAGGAAAAATTACTGAATTTAAAAAGAAAAAAGCTGTTTCCCCTATATTAAATGATAAAACATTTATTATTACCCAATTTTTTGGTAAAATATAAAGGATGGGGCCACGTCGGGTAAATAGACACCAAACATGTCAAGCCTTAAAATTGCGTGCGCGCGCGAAACCTCAAAAAACTACAATACCCAGAATTGGCTATATGCGAAGCTTTAAAAGCTTTTACCGCTCATCAATTTAGTGTTATCAGTGATTGATGGCCCTAGAATTATTGCTCACACTCGACGTTTGCGGCGATATGTAACATGTGTAGCGCAATTGTTGTTTTTGCGCGCTGGTGCACCAGACGCGTATTTACGTTTATATGTGCGTAAACGTGGGGGTGGGGGACTTCCGCATTTTTTTGTTTTTTTTTAACTTTTTTTATATGTGACTTTTATTTTTTTTAAATCTTTTTATGTTTTTTTACACTTAATGTCATTGCTATTAGGGGGGGGCGGCGGCGGCACTCGAGGGGATAACGCAGCCAGCACATACACACGATCGGCAGGCTATAGAGCCACCGATCGTGTGTATGGGAAACAGCCGGTAACGGCTCTTTACATCGGATGGGTTTTTTCTGCCTGTGTGAACAGATAAAAAATGCCGTCTCATGATGGCAACCCGCTGATGCGAGTCCGCCGTCCGTCCGTTTTGTTGCAACAGGCGGACGGCAAGTGGTTAAGGAAATAAACGTGAATATCACCTGTGGCTATGCATATGTGAAATTTTACAACTGTGTAACAGCACAAAAATAGCTAGTCTACTGGCCTATTGCATGTGTCCACACAAGTCTGTGATTGTGCTGTAATTGGTCATAGTGGATCCCAGGCAACAAGTACCATGTGATCACTGTGACCAATCACACCACATCACAATTGTAAACAATGGCTTCAGTTTGTAGCCTCTCTCGTTCTTTCCCCTTACACATTGTTTGGCTGTGAGAGGAAAGGGAGAGATTGATATCACAGTGTCACAAAGCTCCACAGAGTTTTAGCTGTACAAACCAGTGTCCTGATTACCAGCACCAATACAATGATAAGTAGCAGTGTCAGTAGCAGTGTCTTGATCGCCATCCAGTACCAGTGTATTACTATCAGTGTCAACCAGCACAGTGGTCTGATCACCAGCAAGCACCAGTGTGTTAATCACCAGCGAGCACCAGTATTTTAGCACCATGTCCTGATCACCAGTCGTACCAGTGTCATCAGGTACCATTGTCAGCCACATGCAGTGTCCTGAGTGCCAGCCGCACCTGTGCCAGTGTCATCAAATATCAGTGTCAGCCACATTCAGTGTCCTAATTGCCAGCCGTACCAGTGTCATCAGGTACCAGTGTTGCCCACATCCAGTGTCCAGATTGCGATTGTCAGACACATCCAGTGTTCTTATCATCAGCCTGGCCAGTGTTCTAGTAGCATTGTCAGCCAACACCAGTTTCCTGATCGCCAGTGTACTTGTACTAGTGTAAGCCAGCACCAGTTTCCTGATCGCCAGCCAGCACCAGTGTTCTTATACTAGGGTCAGCCAAATCCAAAGCCAACACCAACGTAAGTTCGACTCAAACATCGCTTGTTCGAGTTTTCGCCGAACACAAGAACTTTGTGGGATGTTTGCGGTCTGTTCAACCGCGCAACATCCCACAAGGCACAACAGGTCAGGTGCAAGACTTTGCCCAATCAGGGTTCAGTACTCTGTTTGAGCCATGATTGCGTTCTATATCAGAATTGTATACACCGTTCTATATCACAGTTCTATATCAGTGTTGTATACAGCGTTCTATATCAGAGTTGTATACAGCATTCTATATCGGAGTTGTATACAGCGTTCTATATCAGAGTTCTATACAGCGTTCTGGACCATTTTCAACACACCGTAAGTGACATGCTGCTGGAGGATGCGCAGCAATTAAACTGGTCTGATATTGGCTCTGAGGTTGAGGAAGGAAGTAACATCAGCCTAGAGGGAGGGGGTGCCATGATGCACAACGAACTGGCACTCATGTTCCCCCAGCTGCAGCATACTGCCAGGTTGGCTCCAGTGACGAGGGCATAGGGGGTGATGATGATGAGGTCACTGACTCCACTTGGGTGCCTGATCGAAGAGAGGAGGAAAGTAAGGAGGAAAGTGAGGAGGAGGCACAACCTCAATGAGGAACAATGTCCTCTAGGGGCAGCCGTATGAGCAGCCAGCCCATTACATCAGAAGGCAGAGCTGCACTGGTGCAGGGGGCTGTTGTCTCCCAGCACACTTCTAGGAACTCAGCTGTCTGGGAGTTTTTCACCACAATCACTGCACTAGTAGTGTCTATCTAATAGTCTAATTGGACCTTTCCTTTTTGAGAAAGTTGATGAACGAAACGCATGAAAGGAAAACTGTCTTCACCTCTTACGGCTGAGTGCCCCTACCGCTCAAAAGCTTTGATGTTCCCTGTTTCTGCAAGTGCATTTGAACTTTTTACGAATAAATAATTTTAGTTATTGCACTTAGATAGCTTTGTTTTGTCTCCCTCATTTTCCGGTGGGATACCATCAGGTGAACGCAGCCGCCTTGGGCGGTGTGAGATCAGACAACCGGACTGGAAGGAGAGAGCCACGCCTGATTGCCGTATAAGGAGACAAAAGATGGAGGTGGAAAATTAAAACCAAAGTCTTTTCAACACAAAGATCAGTCTGGAGACGTACTGGTGGATATTTTGGAGATCGAGGGACAGACTATCCAAATACCGCTAAAGGAAGGGAAGTAACCATTCAATTTCCCTTGCGGGATATGCACAAAACGGTTTAGATCTCCCTGAAACGACTCTTGGATTTATTTCTGCCATCATTTGTAGGAGAATACCCTATAGATCAAATTTGCTTTACTCATTTACTGAAGAGGCCCCATTGTCCCACGATTGAACACGCTTTTTTCATTTCACATTAATACAATATTGGTCACTTTTTACCATCATGGTATTCCCCCACCTAATTTGCATATATCTAGCCATTGAAGGTGTTAAATTGACATACTGAATATAATGTCACATTGTCCGAGGAGACCTTAGTGTTGTATGGTGCAACACGGTTTTTACACGATTATCAATATACTGTATATATTTTTTCAAGATTTTTCACAATATAATTCTGCACATGTTAAGTTATTGTCATCTGTCAATTGGTACATGAAGTATTTTGTTAGTTTGATTTACACAGAGAGAGGGTGGATTTATTGGTTTCACTTAGACTGAGTGCAACACACTTGCAATTCAATATTTGCAACCTGTGTCTCAAGAGGATCAAGCATGGCAAAACCATCAGCCGCTTGGGTACCACGTGCTTGAAGAGACATCTGACCACAAGGAATGAGCTGTATGTTTGAGTCGAACATGAGTTAGACTCGAACATTGATAGTTCAAGCGTTCGCCGAACGCAAAAACTTTGTGTGATGTCTGCAGTCTATTCGACCACGCAACATCCCACAAGGCAATGCACCTTCTGAAGCTCTAATTGGGTAAAGGCCCAAAGGCTTTTTATCATATTTGTCATTTGTTGGTGTTTTGTTATTGCTTTCACTCCTTGAGCTTTTTGAGGTTTGCTCTGCTTTCCCATGTGTCTTGTCAGTGGGGGGTCCTTCCTGGGGATCTATAAACACTTGCTCAACACTACACGTTTTGACAAAGACATCCTCGTGCAGCAGACTGCATTGTAGTGGAGCCTTTCAGTTTGGGATGGTTGCACTTGCCTTCTCCATTCGAAGGGCCGGCGCCATGGTGTTGTGAGTTATATTGTATGTTCATAACTGCCAGAGATGTTATGAGACAGGATCGTCCCTACTCTTACATGGTGTTAGGGGGGACTCTTTTGGGGGTGTTTTCATGACCCTTAGGGGAGCTATGAGCCTTGGGAGGCTTTAGTTCATTCCTTCTCATTATTTTTCTCTGGTTCCGCCCCCTATATCTATGTTACACGATCAGATGTCAATGGGCACAAGAAGTTTGACCGCACATTTGAGCAGTTGTCACTTCATAATGTCTTGATTTTGGCTCGAGTTGCTGTTCTTTTCCGACCCTGAACTCAACAATATTCCCTGGGTATTATATTCATTACATGAACTATGTTGGCTAGTTATCTAACCTTGTTAACATATAGGGGTTTTTGTCTGTTGTTTAATTTCGTTTTCGTACTGTACTTACAAGTCGTTGCCCGGAGCCATTCTATGACTCCGCAAAATTCTTTCAGGACTCATCCCGATTAGGTGTGGACTTCCCGCTCCTTTTGAAGTCCATTTCGGATGATTTAAAAGAATGGGACCACTCTGTGTAATACACCCCCAGGGGTTATTAAGGTCCTTGGACCACAGCTGTGGAATTGGCTTCCTTTCTGAGGTAACGGTATCAGCTCGCAGCTCTGCCTCCGATGCCCTGGTTATTGATAAGGCCTGGAGAGAGCTGCTTCACATCCTCACATCCTCGATGTATACGAGTCACATAGCTGTCAGACGTGGGATTGTTGGAGCGTAAGATCACGGAAGGAAGAGGTACCGGATGGAATCCGTAGTTGGCAAAGAACGGCATCTGTCTGGTGGAAGTGTTGACGGCATTGTTGAAGGAGAATTCCGCAAGGGCCAGAAGGTCCATCCAATCGTTCTGTAGGTGAATGCAATAACATCGGATGAACTGTTCGAGGCATTGGTTCACCCTTTCCGTCTGGCCATTCGTTTGGGGATGGTAGGCACTCGAGAGCCGGTGGTCGATCCGCAGTTTCTGACAGAGGGCTTTCCAGAATTTCGAGACGAACTGCGTTCCTCGGTCTGTTATGATGCGGGACGGAATGCCATGGAGCCGGAAGATTGAGGAGAGAAATGCGTCCGCAGTTTCCTGGGAGTTTGGTAATCGGGGTAGAGGTACGAAATGTGCCATTTTTGTTAGGTGGTCAACAGCGACCAACACTGTGTTGTGTCCGTGAGATAAGGGTAGATCTACAATAAAGTCCAAGGAGACAACCTCCCATGGACTTCCGGGTATAGGAAGGCTGAACAACAACCCGTAAGGAGGGCGTCTTCCAGGTTTACAGGATGCACAGATGTTACAGGTGGTCACGTAGGCTGTCACGATCTCTCATCTTTGGCCACCAAAAGTATCTTCTCACTAATTCCAGCGTCCTGTCAACCCCGAGGTGGCCCGCGGCTGGGGAGTCATGGAGGAGTTTGAGTATAGGAACATGCATCTCAGGTGGCACATATAGTTTGTGGTCCCGGTAGAGGAATCCTTCCTCGTCTTGTACGAGATCAGCGGGGCGATCAATCGTCGCTTGTATGGCTAGTTTGAGCCGGCTCTTCAGGTCTACAGTGGAGGCCAGTATCCTCTCCGGCGGAACGACAGACGAGGTCATAGAGCTCCCCATGGAGGGGTCACCGATTCTGGAGAGGGCGTCTGCCTTGCCGTTTCTGGACCCGGGTCGATACGTAATAATGTAGTTGAAGCGATCGAAGAAGTAACTCCATCGTACCTGGCGGGAGGACAGGGTTTTGGTCGTCTTCAGGTATTGTAAGTTACGGTGGTCTGAGAATATGACGATGGGGTGGAGGGCACCTTCCAGAAGGT